AGGAGGACTTCGATGGTTTCAGTGCGCCGAAGGAAGATGAATGAGACGTTTTGTTGGATCAGAAACTGTTAAAGAAAACTACCAAAATAAGGTCAGTTAAATGAACCATATTCATCCGAACTTTAATTCCTAAAGGTTTGCTTTTTATGTTTTGATGTTGAATTCACTTTTTTGATGGCAAATTTGGGTGTACTGTTTTTTTTTATGTTGGGGGTGCGGCTTATAGTCCGGTGCGGCTTATATGTTAATGTTCGCAGATTTTTTTTTTAAATGTCGGGTGCGGCTTATAGTCCGAAAAATACGGTACTCGTTCTTGTTTACAGGTAGTTGAAATCCACAGCAATTCTCTGTGAGTGTAACTCAGCGCTACCACAGGTCCAGTACAATTACGGTTCACGTCGTGAACGAAACATGACTCCGGATGGGTTACTTACTGAATCACAAGGAAGCACAACACACAGACTGTTACTATGATATTATCATGGCCCATCTGTTCTCCTGCAGCCAGAACTTGTTCCACTGTGTAGTTTGGATCAGCCATAAATGCTATGATGGATTGGTATACCAGGTGAACCCTCAGCAGGGAAGGATTTTATCTTTATTTAACTTATCTTACCTTTGACAGATGAAGCAAGTCAAAAGAGTGAAAGCAATCTAAAACTTGTAAAACAAACTTCACACATTTATACTTCCACCAATCATCCTCGGTGATGCATGCAGTGAGAGAGGGTGTTTGTCTATGCAAGCTCACCAAAGCTAACCAGATTTCAGTGCTGTCTGGCTGCAGAACTGAAGCTTCTCTATACACCTGCAAAGCTTCCTCAAAGCGGCCTGTGTTGTAGTACAGCACTCCAAGAGGAGTCAGGATGTCCACTTTCCTGGTCACTTGCAGGGCCCTGCAGACAGAAGTCAGAGGTTTAAGAATGTATGTCCATAGTAAACATATCTGTCTGCATCCAGACATTAACTAAACAACAAAAACATTTTAATCAGATTCCTTAAATAAATAAAATACATTTTTACATTTAGGCACTCCTGCAATAGTCACACTTTTTCTGTTACAAACTGACTCCGGCCCCCCACCAGAGAAGGGAAAGGTTATGTGGACCTTACAGGAAAAAGTTTGGGGACCCCTGCCTTAAAGGATGTGAAGAGTTCCAGGGGAGCATGAGACCCTTGGCCAAGCAAGGGTTGTAACTAACAAATTTTCAAAGTGGACTGTCAGCCGCAGGGAAGCAGAATGTGAGGCGTCTGCAGCGCCGAGGAGCAGAGAAAAGAGGATGGGGAACTTACTTCTGGTCGCAAAGCGTGTTGGGAGATGGTTATTTAATTTTATTTATTGTTTGTTTTTTTTAATGTCCTACAGGCTATGAGAAGTAAAATGAATTTGAAACTACGTTTTTGAAAAAATCTGTGAGATTGTCGTATACATCCATACACCTAAAAAATGAGGGCAAATCCATGTGGCTAACTATTACCCCTATTAGGGCTGGATCAACTTCAGCCACACTTCACATACAGCTACAGCTATAATACAACAGTTCAGATAAGGTCTCTTCAAACAGTTGCCTGTGGGACAGATAAGGCCCTTTTAATTATTTGCCACAATACAGCAAGAATCCCAAACTCAACAGCATTGAGAGCTAACAACTCTAGCAACTCTGCTCCATGCAGCGCTCCCCAAAGTTGGAAGAAAACTCCACATGCGCCCTTCTTCTACTTACAACTATTTTCCCACTGCTGAGAAAAGTTGATGAACGGTGAAATTATTTGCAGAAGGGTTTCTTGTAAGCTTATCCACCATACTTTCCTCTTCAAACTACACTCTATATTTTTTCTTTTTCTTTTTACTCCCTGGAACCACCACTAAGGTAGATCTAAAAGTACCGGACCACTGAGACACATTTGGCTGACCCTGAATTGATGAGAACCATGTTGTTGATGTATAGGCACACCTATGGAGATGGAGCTCAAAAGATGCTGTGGCACAAGGCCCTCAAACAGACCTCACAAATAATCCCAATTCTGTGGTACACAAGATTGACAGGATGCTGAAAATGACATGAGCCAAAGTTGACATGCATAAACGGGCTTGGACCCCAGTCATAACTGCTTCACAGTTTTATTATTTGTTTTATTTCTACAGTAGTGTTCTTGTGTCAGTTAATTAAATCAGTGTCAGGAAATAACTGCGATATTATAAAAAATTGTTTATTTTACTAAGATTTTTCTGTTTTATTTTTCTTGAGCTTATAAAAGTCATACCTTTTGTACCAAGACTCAGCTTCTTTGTTTTCATTGAACGATCGTAGAAGACGGCCCAGGTTCACCATAGCAACATAATGTTCTGGTTTGAGTTGTATTGCTTCACGGTAGTGTGCAGCAGCGAGGTGGTCTTCTCCTGAAGAAGAGAAGAAAACAGAGAGAAAAAATAAAATGATCTAAATCAGACTTAGTTGTCCTCATAAAAGCTTATCCACCATGATGCCTTGCCAGAAGTGTGGGAGCCCCTGGCCCCCGTTTCCTCCTTCCCTGCATGCAGCCTGCATCTGCGGCTATTCCTGCTCCACTCCCTCTGATCAAATCATCATTATCATCATCTGCATTACAAGACTTAATAGAGTACATCACTGATTCCAAAGACAAAAAGCAGACTATGCCCATGTTTCGACTTTGTTCCTGGTTTTACATCCACACTGGCCATAGAACGGTAAATGGTCTGTACTTATATAGCAACTTTCTATGCAACCAGGATACTCAGAGCACTTTACACTACAATCTGTGTCCTCATTTACCCATTCACACAGCACTCATTTACATCTCACTACAAAGCTAACATCTACAAATCATCTAAGGAGACTAATCAGTGCTTTAAATTACACTCATGCACTGATGGGACACACATCAGAGGAAGTGGGGGTTCAGTGTCTTGCCCAGAGACACTTCAAGATGTGACGAACTAGCGGGGAAGAGAACCGCCAACTCCCACATTAGAGGAACGACTCCCCTAACCACTCTGCCACAGTTGCCCTACGAAATACCGGCTAAGTGAGAAAACACTGTGATATGATTAGCTGTCTTGGCCAATCAAGTGTGTATCACTTGAAGAATAATGAAAACTCCACTTAGCATCTTTTGGGTCTTAACAGAACTGCTACTGACAGCTTGATACCATGTCTAGGTGGGGTTCCAGTGCCCCAGAGGGTCAGGGATACTTGTCTTCAATAAGTAAACAACATGAGAGATAAATTCAAAACGCTATGGTTTACAGGTGTTTAATTAGTCCTTGTACCTAGAGCCACATAGACCAAAGACATAACTCACCTGTATCCACCAGAAATACTCCATAGTTGTTATGAAGGTCGGGGCTGTCAGGACAGTTTTCTATACCATTTAAATACACTTCCTTTGCCTTAGCAAAGTGTTTCTGTGTCCAAACACAAATGACATAAGTGCAGTGTTATAACAAGGATGAACATCATCAAACACCCACTGCTAGCTTATTCAACAGTGTTATATTTCTGCCTAACAGACACATGATGCATTTATATTAAATATAAAGAGCGTTAAGTGAAAACAAATTGGCTTTGTTTCAAAAAGCTTTGGATAARGGGAGTCTGTCAGCAGTAGTTTTTTTAAGAACTATATTTTCTACATTATTTTAGTTTTTTGTTCCATTTAACGTTCCATTTTAAAAGTTTTGACTTGTAAAAAAATTGTAGAAAAAAAAGTACAAAAGTACAATTCAAACCAAAACCTGAACACAAATTATTTAGTCTGTTGCTCAAGCAGTTTTCAGTTTTCTCAAGTGAYTGACTGCCATTTTCCAAGCTGGTTTCTGGATGTTTTACCTGCTCAGCGTAAAGTGATGCCAAACTGGAGTAAGCATCAGCAAAATGAGGACCATAGCGAATGGAGTCCTTCAGTAGAGCCTCAGCCTCWTTCTCCTTTCCCTGAGACCTGGAGTACAGAACAATGAACATTATTTTCATCATGAGTACCATCACTACTAATGTCACTGGTAATACTCTGATGCCTTGATTAAACTAAAACAATGTTGTACTCACTGTGCTGGTGATTAGGAATGCGCGATATAAACGATATACGGTAGAAACTACATAAATTTGTCCTATGATAGAGATCTGTAGTCTACCGGCCAACCGCACAATTCTATTTGATGACTTAACTGGCTGGAGTCAAAACAGAGCAAGCGGGAAGCAGCGTGGCTGAGAGCGCAAATGAAGAGGGGGAAAAACTTATCCGGACCTGGTTCAGGTGTGTGAAAATGAAKGCTAAACTGTTTACATATTTACGTGACGGCGCGTCCTCTGGTCGGACGCCGAACGACCACACTGCCTGCTGCGGGAGGAGCGCACGCCACGGCATGTGTGAAGGGCTCGACACACGGGAGGCGACGTCGCTCGCTCTCCATTCATTTCCACGCAGCGAGGCGACTGTCAGTGCTCAGGTGGGACACATAAAAATCAGTCTGGACCTCGTTTCTCCTGCGGTCATAGCGCGACGACGCACGGCCTAATACGCGTGCACTCAGCGCGCACTCCAAAGCACGACTATAATGATTGTCACCCCGCCGGAGCGCGCACAGATTAAACAGGTGGAGTGCAGAAAAAATTATCTGCAAAGTATGTAGAAAGGAATAAATACAAGCAATTTGTTTTACCACCTTAAAACAAAGCTGGTGATTTCAAACAACACCCAAAGGATGCAGATATCTATTACATAAAAGTTATTGTGTGTGTGTGTGTGTGTGTGTGTG